ATTATTTTCTCTGTCTCTGAATAGGCAAACCTCCATTGTCTTAACATTTGAACATGAAAACCTCTATTCTCTATATTTGAATATCAAGACCTCTACATTTTAATATGAAAACACTTTGTATTTTCGCTATATTTTCGTATGAAAGCCTCTATGTCCTCTATGTTGTCATAGGAAGCATCTAATTTCTCTATATTGTATAGCGAAAACCTCTATTGTTCTATAGTTTCTTATTTTGTCAGTATTTTCAGACTTCTTCTCTTTATTTCACGAGGAAGACATGAGAGAGGAATACATGAAAAGCTAATTCTCTATATTGTCATAAGAGTACATGCATTATCTCTATTTGTGACTCGTAGACAACAAGTGTTTTTGTTCATGTCTCATAACACAAGCTCTATTTTCTCGATTCTTTACTAAGAAGACGTTTATATCTCTATTTTTAAACGGAAAATTCAACTTCCACCATAAGGTCTGAATTTTCGTAGGAAAGCAAGCATATATTCCCTCTTTCTTCAGGGGGTTGGGGGCTGCGCAGACCGCCGCATTTGAAAACACAATGCTCGCATCATGGGTTTGGAAGGGATTCGTAAGCTTTGAAGCAGGCTTGCCGGCTAAAAAAAGCGGGGGGGTTGGGGGGGGGGGCGCAGCCCCCCCCATTTGCAAACACAATGCTCGCATCATCATGGGTTTGGAAGGAATCGTATGATTGAAGCAAGTTTGCCCGGCTAAAAAGCGCAGCCCCACCCCCCCCCCCTTTCAAGCGGGGGGGAATGCTCTCATGATGGGTTCGGAAAGGATTCATTTGCTTTGAAGCAAGCGGCATGGCTTTAAGAAGCGGGGGGGTTGGGGGGGGCGCAGCCCCCCCCTATTTGCAAACCCAATGCTGGCATGATAGGCTTGGACAGGATTCATATGCTGAGAAGCGACCTGGCACGGTTTTAAAGAGGGGGGGGGTCGGGCGGGGTGCAGCCCTCCCTCCACCGTTTGCAAACACAATGCTCGCATGATGGCCTTGGGAAGGATTCAGTGCTTTGAAAACGCTTGCACAGTTTAAAGGAGGGGGGGCGTTGGGGACGGGGTTGGGGAGGAAATTGCAAAACAAATGACCTGGGGGGTGGGGAGGAAAGGGGGGGCGGGGCGTTTTTTGTTTTGCTGCGGGTGCGGGGGTGCGTTCTTTTTTTGGCTGCGGGGAGGGGGCGCGTTTTTTTTTCTTGACGGCGGGTGCGGGGGCGACACGACCAGGTCACTCATCACCTTGGGGGGGGGGGAAGGAAGGGGGGGGGGGGGGGGGGGGGCGGGGGCGCGGTTTTTTTTTTTTGCTGCGGGTGCGGGGGCGCCTTTTTTTTTTGCTGCGGGTGCGGGGGCGCCTTTTTTTTTGCTGCGGGTGCGGGGGCGACACGCGCCAGGTCACTCACTCACCGGGGCGGCCCCCGAAAAAAGCACCCACAGCAAAAAAGCACCCACAACAAAAAAAAAAACACGGGTTCCCCACCACTCCACAACACACCCCACACCACCACACACCCCACACCACCCTAAACCCTAAACCCTAAACCCTAAACCCTAAACCCTAAACCCTAAACTCTAAACCCTAGCGCTCAGGAAGACCGTGATCGGTCCAGATCCGCGGACCTTTCCGAAACACGCGCCCTTTAGAGCACGCGTGCTCATCGGACCCTAAACCCTAAACCCTAAACCCTAAACCCTAAACCCTGAACCCTAAACCCTAAACCCTAAACCCCAAACCCTAAACCCCCACCCCCTTTCAAAGGTTGATAGATTCGAGGAATTTCCCCTCCTTGACAGATTTGATGAAATGGCGACCGCCCACCCCCGACCCCCACCCCGCCCAATCTCTGGATAGTTTCAAGACCACCCCCCCTTCTCCTCCACATCATGAAGGCAAATGCGAGCTCCAGGGGAGTCGGCCCAGTTCCCTGCTAAAGCAGAGACTAACTGAAGCCTATCTACGCGAGCTTTCGTGCTTCTTAGTGATTTTCACTATCAAGATAACTCTTCGTATTTTTGGAAGTGGAACTTCCCCACAGTTCTAGGATCAGCCCCCATTCACCTCATCTTTCTTTCTGCTCGGTTTCAGATCTTCGTCTTGCCAACTCTTCACTCAAGCGCATCGAGGGTAGGCATAATATGGGTATCCCCCGTTATACCCCAATAGATATAATCCCCTTAAAGGGAACCCCAAAAAGGGTACCCCTTTTCCGGAAACCCCCGTAGACCAGTGCACTAGGCCCTGAACCCCAAACCAGATCTTCGCTTCAGGGATATTTCTAGACCCAAGCGCCAGACAAGTCGATCCCACGGCACGGTCGATGCACTCCGTCCCATGCCCTGGCTCAGGGACTCATCTGCTTGAGGGCAGGATTTTCATGATCCCAACCCGAAGCCTTAATTGCCATGAGCCCCAAAAGCCCGAAGTCCTGAACCCTCAAAAGGGCCCTCGACCCAAACCCCTACTTGAAGGTTCATGGTACTTACTAACCACTTGTAACTGTACTTATAACCCTACTTATAATGCCCCTAAAAGGCCTTATAGGGGTTATCCCAATTATAAGTAGGGTTATAAGCCCAGTTATAAGTGGTTATTAAGTCCCATGAACCTCCAAGTAGACCCCGGAACACCCATCTCGGGGTCAGGTTGAGGGCGCAGGGACTCTCCAGAAGCGGAGCTGGCTTAGGACGGCACATGAAAGTGGTGAGCAGCTGTTTAGGGTTCAGGGTTTAGGGCTTAGGGTGTAGGGTTTAGGGTTTAGGGTTAGCTACCCAAATCCCAACAGAAAGCAAGCAGAAACCTAGGTCAGGTAGTCAGCCTAAGCCCTGCAAGGCCCTCAGCACCCCAAAGACCGAAACGCCCCCCCAAAAGCCCTTAAAAACCATGAGGCAAAACCTCTGAAACAAAACTAGACACCACGAAGCCATCTACCCCCCACAACCCTAAACCCTAAACCCTAAACCCTCAATCCTAAACCCTAAATCCTGAACCCTCAATCCTAAAACCCTAAACCCGCAACCGTCAACCCACCAAACACAACAAACAAAAACCAAAAGTACAAAAAGAAGGCCTGTGGCGTCGGGAGGGAACCTTGGGCAACGCTGCTCAGCGCATCGGACCTAAGAAGTGTGTTGGTTTAAGGTATAGGGTATAGGGTATAGGGTATAAGGTTTAGGGTTTAGGGTTTGGGGTTTGGGGTTTAGGGTCCATAAGCCCTACAAGCGTATCTAGGCTTTCAGCATTTATGGCCCCTAACCCTTTTCCACCCCTCTCCAGTTCTTCGGATTGCCTCGGAAGCGTCCAACGATGGCTCCGACCTGACAGGACATGCTGGCCCGCATACTTCAGGCAATGAAACAAAGCAGGAGAAAACAGGGTTTAGGGTTTAGGGTTTAGGGTCTAGGGTTTATATAGGGATAGAGAAGCTAGAAACGAGGCCGTTCCCAATTCTGGCGGCAGTCAGGCAGTCGGAGGGGAAGACTCTGATGGTAGATGGAGCTTGCAAAACACTCGATGCTGCATAAGTGTCCCGCATGCCACTGCAGCTCGCCGAATGCGAACGCTGCATGGAAAATTAAACCTAAGAATGGACGGTTCACTACGAGCATCGCCCCCCTCAGTCCAGCAGCTGCGGTCACGCGCTGCACTCTTGGCAGATGAGCTCCGGCGACGCGGCCCACTCGGACTGCCAAGCGTCCTTGTAGTAGCTCTGGAACTCGGGGATCGTGTAGCGGCGGCCGTCCTTTGCGAGGCGGATCTGCGTTGCTACTGGCGCAGCATCCCAGTAGCGTTCCCAGTTGCTCTGGAAGAACATGCGGAACTGGCTGGCCGAGTATGCCTTGCGGTCTGGGGCCACGCGCTTCTCTGCCGGCGCCGCGTTCCACTCGCTGAGGTAGCCGGCGTGGTAGTGCTCTTGAAAGCCCTGTGCAGTGTATGCCACACCATCCTTCGCATAGCGCTTGGCCTTGTGGTTCAAGTTCTGGGTCACGGCAGTGTCAGCAGCCGTTTTCAACCGGTCTGCCTGGCTCCCGTGTGCCCGGGCGTAGGCATTCTGCAGGGCCATTGGGCCGCAACCAGCCTTGGCAAGCTCCAGCGCTTTCTCCTGGGCCTCCCTCTTCCTAAGATTCATACCTTTAATGCTGTAGAACGTGCTGAAAAGGCTTTTCACTTGCGATGGTTCTGCATAGGCCAGCGTGAGCTCCAGAGACCTGCTCTGCGCAACGCTTTTCGGGAGGTCGAAGGATAGAGGGCTGTGGAGGGTTGAGAAGATCTGCTTCAGAGCGTCTGGGTCGATGTGCTGCTTGGCCAGCTCGAACAGCTTGTCCTTGACCACCCGCTTGGGAAAGCCAAGGCTGGAGCTGGAGTAGAGGGCGTCCTTCAGCTTCTCCAGGTCCTCAAGGGTCACTCCGCAGTCGTTCAAGATGCCCAGGTCCTTCTGCGCCATCCGATCTGCTTCCGAACTTGACAGGTCCATCCCCTCGCTGCTGTAGAGCCACTGCGCAAGGTCATATTGTCCGATGCCGCTGCTGGACGCATTCGCCTGCAACTGCTCGTTTGTCCTCACGCTGCTGGCAACTTGGAGCAAAGCCACGAGAGTCACCTTGAGCAGCGCCATGGTGCTGTGCCGGATGCAAGGGCGCACGAGGAGACGTGGTGTTTCACAAACTGCGTGAACAGCTTTCAGCCGAAATGCTTGCTTCCGCAAGGCTATACCTTCCCCCTAACCCAACCCTTCCCCCCGTGCAAAATTTTGTGACGCCGCCTGACCCCCTCCAATCGCTTGGAGGAGCTGCAAACCGATGCCGTCCCCCCCCCCCCCCCCCCCCCCCCCCCCCCCTTCTTTGACCCCTCTGCCCTTCCTCCCCTTTTTTTGCGAAACCCTCTTTCCTCCTTTCCTGTCCTGGGGCCGGCCCGGCTGCCGAGGCGGCGCGCGCAAGCGTTTACAATTAAACATAAGAATGGACGGTTCACTACGAGCATCGCCCCTCTGTCACGCGCTGCACTCTTGGCAGATGAGCTCCGGAGACGCGGCCCACTCGGACTGCCAAGCGTCCTTGTAGTAGCTCTGGTACTCGGGGATCGTGTAGCGGCGGCCGTCCTTTGCGAGGCGGATCTGCGTTGCCACTGGCGCAGCATCCCAGTAGCGTTCCCAGTTGCTCTGGAAGAACATGCGGAACTGGCTGGCCGAGTATGCCTTGCGGTCTGGGGCCACGCGCTTCTCTGCCGGCGCCACGCTCCACTCGCTCAGGAAGTATTCGTGGTAGTATTGTTGAAAGTCCTGTGCAGTGTATGCCACGCCATCCTTCGCATAGCGCTTGGCCTTGTAGTTCAAGTTCTCAATCACGGCAGATTCGGAAGCCGTTTTCAACCGGTCTGCCTGGCTCCCGTATGCCCGGGCGTAGGCATTCTTCAGGGCAATGGGGTCGCAGCCAGCCCTAGCAAGCTCCAGCATTTTCTCCAGAGCCTCCCTCTTCCCAAGATTCACACCACTGCTGCTGTAGAGCGTGCTGAAAAGGCTTTTCACTTGCTCTGGCTCTGCATAGCCCAGCGTGAGCTCCACCGCCCTGCTCTGTGCGACACTTTTTGGGAGGAGGTCGACGCCGGAAGAGCTGTAGTAGAGGGCGGAGAACATCTGCTTCAGAATGTCTGGATCGATGTGCTGCTCGGCCAGCTCGAACAACTTGTCCTTGACCATTTGCTTGGAAAAGCCAAGGTCGGAGTAGTAGAGGGCGCCCTTCAGCTTCTTCAGGTCCTCAAGGGTTACTCCGCAGTCGTTCAAGATGGCTCCGCCCTTCTGCGCCATCCAATCTGCATCGGACCTTGACAAGTCCATCCCCTGGCTGCTGTAGAGCCACTGCGCAAGGGCATCTTGTCCGATGCCGCTGCTGGACGCATCCGCCTGCAACTGGACGTTTGTCCTCACGCTGCTGGCAACTTGGAGCAAAGCCACGAAAATCACCTTGAGCAGCGCCATGGTGCTGTGCCGGACACAAGGGCACACGAGGAGACGAGGTGTTTCACAAACTGCGTGAACAGCTTTCAACCGAAATGCTTTGCTTCCACAAGGCTATAAACTGGAACGGTGAACCCTTCTTTTGCTGAAGTAGTCAACTTATGGCACACTCCCTTCTGCATGAGGGTCCTGCACTGTTTCCACTACGGGAGCTCCTTTCGTGGAATGTGATCGCTGCACGGAAAATATCACCTAAGAATGGACGGTTCACTACGAGCATCGCCCCCCTCAGTCCAGCAGCTGCGGTCACGCGCTGCACTCTTGGCAAATGAGCTCCGGCGACGCGGCCCACTCGGACTGCCAAGCGTCCTTGTAGTAGCTCTGGAACTCGGGGATCGTGTAGCGGCGGCCGTCCTTTGCGAGGCGGATCTGCGTTGCCACTGGCGCAGCATCCCAGTAGCGTTCCCAGTTGCTCTGGAAGAACATGCGGAACTGGCTGGCCGAGTATGCCTTGCGGTCTGGGGCCACACGCTTCTCTGCCGGCGCCGCGCTCCACTCGCTCAGGAAGTATTGGTGGTAGTATTGTTGAAAGCCCTGTGCAGTGTATGCCACGCCATCCTTCGCATAGCGCTTGGCCTTGTAGTTCAAGTTCTCGGCGACGGCAGATTCGGAAGCCGTTTTCAACCGGTCTGCCTGGCTCCCGTATGCCCGGGCGTAGGCATTCTTCAGGGCAATGGGGTCGCAGCCAGCCTTGGCAAGCTCCAGCGCTTTCTCCTGGGCCTCCCTCTTCCCAAGATTCACACCACTGCTGCTGTAGAGCGTGCTGTAAAGGCTTTTCACTTGCTCTGGCTCTGCATAGGCCAGCGTGAGCTCCACCGCCCTGCTCTGTGCGACACTTTTTGGGAGGTCGACGCCGGAAGTGCTGAAGAGGGCGAAGTACATCTGCTTCAGAGTGTCTGGATCGATGTGCTGCTCGGCCAGCTCGAACAACTTGTCCTTGACCATCTGCTTGGAAAAGTCAAGGTTGGAGGTGGAGAAGAGGACGTCCTTCAGCTTCTTCAGGTCCTCAAGGGTCACTCCGCAATCGTTCAAGATGGCTCCGCCCTTCTGCGCCATCCAATCTGCATCGGACCTTGACAAGTCCATCCCCTGGCTGCTCCAGAGCCACTGCGCAAGGGCATCTTGTCCGATGCCGCTGCTGGACGCATCCGCCTGCAACTGGACGTTTGTCCTCACGCTGCTGGCAACTTGGAGCAAAGCCACGAACATCACCTTGAGCAGCGCCATGGTGCTGTGCCGGACACAAGGGCACACGAGGAGACGAGGTGTTTCACAAACTGCGTGAATAACTGTCAGCCGAAGTGCTTTGCTTCCACAAGGCTATAAACTGGAACGGTGAACCCTTCTTTTGCTGAAGTAGTCAACTTATGGCACACTCCCTTCTGCATGAGGGTCCTGCACTGTTTCCACTACGGGAGCTCCTTTCGTGGAATGTGATCGCTGCACGGAAAATATCACCTAAGAATGGACGGTTCACTACGAGCATCGCCCCCCTCAGTCCAGCAGCTGCGGTCACGCGCTGCACTCTTGGCAAATGAGCTCCGGCGACGCGGCCCACTCGGACTGCCAAGCGTCCTTGTAGTAGCTCTGGAACTCGGGGATCGTGTAGCGGCGGCCGTCCTTTGCGAGGCGGATCTGCGTTGCCACTGGCGCAGCATCCCAGTAGCGTTCCCAGTTGCTCTGGAAGAACATGCGGAACTGGCTGGCCGAGTATGCCTTGCGGTCTGGGGCCACACGCTTCTCTGCCGGCGCCGCGCTCCACTCGCTCAGGAAGTATTGGTGGTAGTATTGTTGAAAGCCCTGTGCAGTGTATGCCACGCCATCCTTCGCATAGCGCTTGGCCTTGTAGTTCAAGTTCTCGGCGACGGCAGATTCGGAAGCCGTTTTCAACCGGTCTGCCTGGCTCCCGTATGCCCGGGCGTAGGCATTCTTCAGGGCAATGGGGTCGCAGCCAGCCTTGGCAAGCTCCAGCGCTTTCTCCTGGGCCTCCCTCTTCCCAAGATTCACACCACTGCTGCTGTAGAGCGTGCTGTAAAGGCTTTTCACTTGCTCTGGCTCTGCATAGGCCAGCGTGAGCTCCACCGCCCTGCTCTGTGCGACACTTTTTGGGAGGTCGACGCCGGAAGTGCTGAAGAGGGCGAAGTACATCTGCTTCAGAGTGTCTGGATCGATGTGCTGCTCGGCCAGCTCGAACAACTTGTCCTTGACCATCTGCTTGGAAAAGTCAAGGTTGGAGGTGGAGAAGAGGACGTCCTTCAGCTTCTTCAGGTCCTCAAGGGTCACTCCGCAATCGTTCAAGATGGCTCCGCCCTTCTGCGCCATCCAATCTGCATCGGACCTTGACAAGTCCATCCCCTGGCTGCTCCAGAGCCACTGCGCAAGGGCATCTTGTCCGATGCCGCTGCTGGACGCATCCGCCTGCAACTGGACGTTTGTCCTCACGCTGCTGGCAACTTGGAGCAAAGCCACGAACATCACCTTGAGCAGCGCCATGGTGCTGTGCCGGACACAAGGGCACACGAGGAGACGAGGTGTTTCACAAACTGCGTGAATAACTGTCAGCCGAAGTGCTTTGCTTCCACAAGGCTATAAACTGGAACGGTGAACCCTTCTTTTGCTGAAGTAGTCAACTTATGGCACACTCCCTTCTGCATGAGGGTCCTGCACTGTTTCCACTACGGGAGCTCCTTTCGTGGAATGTGATCGCTGCACGGAAAATATCACCTAAGAATGGACGGTTCACTACGAGCATCGCCCCCCTCAGTCCAGCAGCTGCGGTCACGCGCTGCACTCTTGGCAAATGAGCTCCGGCGACGCGGCCCACTCGGACTGCCAAGCGTCCTTGTAGTAGCTCTGGAACTCGGGGATCGTGTAGCGGCGGCCGTCCTTTGCGAGGCGGATCTGCGTTGCCACTGGCGCAGCATCCCAGTAGCGTTCCCAGTTGCTCTGGAAGAACATGCGGAACTGGCTGGCCGAGTATGCCTTGCGGTCTGGGGCCACACGCTTCTCTGCCGGCGCCGCGCTCCACTCGCTCAGGAAGTATTGGTGGTAGTATTGTTGAAAGCCCTGTGCAGTGTATGCCACGCCATCCTTCGCATAGCGCTTGGCCTTGTAGTTCAAGTTCTCGGCGACGGCAGATTCGGAAGCCGTTTTCAACCGGTCTGCCTGGCTCCCGTATGCCCGGGCGTAGGCATTCTTCAGGGCAATGGGGTCGCAGCCAGCCTTGGCAAGCTCCAGCGCTTTCTCCTGGGCCTCCCTCTTCCCAAGATTCACACCACTGCTGCTGTAGAGCGTGCTGTAAAGGCTTTTCACTTGCTCTGGCTCTGCATAGGCCAGCGTGAGCTCCACCGCCCTGCTCTGTGCGACACTTTTTGGGAGGTCGACGGCGGAAGTGCTGAAGAGGGCGAAGTACATCTGCTTCAGAGTGTCTGGATCGATGTGCTGCTCGGCCAGCTCGAACAACTTGTCCTTGACCATCTGCTTGGAAAAGTCAAGGTTGGAGGTGGAGAAGAGGACGTCCTTCAGCTTCTTCAGGTCCTCAAGGGTCACTCCGCAATCGTTCAAGATGGCTCCGCCCTTCTGCGCCATCCAATCTGCATCGGACCTTGACAAGTCCATCCCCTGGCTGCTCCAGAGCCACTGCGCAAGGGCATCTTGTCCGATGCCGCTGCTGGACGCATCCGCCTGCAACTGGACGTTTGTCCTCACGCTGCTGGCAACTTGGAGCAAAGCCACGAACATCACCTTGAGCAGCGCCATGGTGCTGTGCCGGACACAAGGGCACACGAGGAGACGAGGTGTTTCACAAACTGCGTGAATAACTGTCAGCCGAAGTGCTTTTGCTTCCACAAGCGTTTGCACTCCTCGAAATCTTTTGAGTCATGGCTAGGGCACAGGCTGGCTGTGTTCATTGCAGATTCCACATCCTAACTCGCACCCCAACACCCCACGCCTAAATGCCCCCCCAACCCTAAACCCTAAACCCTAAACCCTAAACCCTAAACCCTAAACCCTAAACCCTAAACCCTAAACCCTAAACCCTAAACCCTAAACCCTAAACCCTAAACCCTAAACCCTAAACCCTAAACCGAGTTAGCCGCCACAAATGGGCCTCCAGGTGCCCTCCTCGCTGCAGCGGAACTGCCCTGTAAGGACGCTTCCCGGTGGGCAGGCGACAGCCTCTCCGAAAGTGGCCCTAAACCCTAAACCCTAAACCCTAAACCCTAAACCCTAAACCCTACACCCTACACCCTAAACCCTAAACCCTAAACCCTAAACCCTAAACCCTAAACCCTACGCCCTGAACTCTAAACCCTAAAATCTTGCATCAAACTTGGGTCACCCGGAGACTCTGAAGTGCCTGGGCCGGGGGGGGGGGGGGGGAAGGCTGCTTGAACTAGGGTGTTTGGGGAGGGTTTAGGGTTTAGGGGTTTGGGGTTTAGGGTTTAAGGGTTCTATGGAGGGCACCTGCGCACGCCCCAAGTCCATGCAAGATTGTATGAACTTGTGCAAGACACAGAGGGTTTGGGGTTTGGGCTTCAGGGTTTATCTAGGGTCTAGGGTTTAGGGTTGAGGGTTTAGGGCAGATCACTGCGACCAGTTCAGCATTTGGTTTCGGAGGATTTTGGGGGGTGTTAGGCTCTAGTGCCGTAGATCAAAGAGCCCGCGTGAAGCCTGGAAGAAATCCTAAAAACCCCAACAGCACCCCCAACAACACCCCTTTGACCCCCAAACCCCAAGCCCGTGGTGTAGTGCTCTCATACTGAGCGCCGGGCCGTGCAAACCGCCCCTGCCCTGGCCTGTTCCTTTGGCCGAGGGTTTAGGGCTTCGGGCTTGTGAGTTTAGGGCTCCGGTATGGAGGCCTCAGTGTGGGAGGCCCTTTTTCCCTAGCCAACCCTCAATGGGATTGAGGTGGTTACAGTGCTCGTCTAATTCATGCCCTCGGATTTGGGGGCTCAGGG